CTAAATTAGCCCCCATCATACTATATGTCTAGTTAGGGTTATGTTTTCCAATGTGCATTACTTTACATTTATCCACATTACATTACATTTGCCATTTTCTTGCCCGATCACTTAGTTTTGTGAGATCTTTTTGAAGTTCTTTACAGTCTGCTTTGGTTTTAACTACCTTGAGCAGTTTAGTGTTGTCTGCAAACTTTGCCACCTCACTGCTTACCCCCTTCTCCAGATCATTTATGAATAAGTTGAAAAGGATTGGTCCTAGGACTGACCCTTGGGGGACACCACTAGTTACCCCTCTCCATTCTGAAAATTTACCATTTATTCCTACCCTTTGTTTCCTGTCTTTTCACCAGTTCTCAGTGCACGAAAGGATCTTCCCTCTTATCCCATGACAACTTAATTTACATAAGAGCTTTTGATGAGGGACCTTGTCAAAGGCTTTCTGGAAATCTAAGAACAGAAGATCTACTGGATCCCCTTGTCCACATGTTTGTTGACCCCTTGTGACGGACCGGGCCGTGTCTGGGCACAGCTGAGGGCGTCCGCTCAGGGCGAATTGCTCAAATCCGGGGCTCCTTACAGCCCCCCGACTGGTGACCTCTCCACACAGGCCACAGACCAGTCCCACAGAGCGCTTCAGCAGCCTGCCTGAAGCCTCCCGAGCAAAACCCCTCCGACACCCCAGCAATATCCGTGCCCCAGATGGCCCCGGGCCTCATACACAGGTGGGGGGTCCTAGCACCCAATCCCACCTACCCCGAACAAGTTCTGTCCGGTTCCAAGAAACCAGCCACAGATCCCTGGTCAATTTACCCTCTGGACCTTGCCCACAAATCACGCTGGGCCAATCCTTTAGAATCTATATCTAAAGGTTTATTATTACAGGAAAGAAAAGCCTGAGAGTAAGGTTATTAAAGTACAGTACGTTACATGCACCGAATCTCCCAGTTCTCGATGCAGGCTCTAGCAGAGATGTTGCAGCTGCTGGTTTAAAAGTTCTTATTGCACATCCTACGATCAGGATGGGTTCACAGGTCTTCCGGGCTCTTCAATCCCTGCAGTGCTGCCTCTGGGATGAAGTGCTGAGCTGAGAACAAAATGGCATCGACCACATGGCCTCTTTATACCTCCTTCCTAGCCTCTTCTGGTCTCAGCCGGTCACCTGGTCCTCAGCCTCTCTCTGCTGGCAGCTCTTAGGTCTCCGCCCTCCTGCTTTAGGTGTGTCTTTGGCCCATCAAGTGCCATTGTTCCACAGGGCTTCACTACTCAGCCTGTCCATAGCCATGCTTAACCACATTCCAAGAAATATTCAGCTTCCACACAGATTACAGATTCCTATCTACACACACAGACATTATACACTCACATAAACAGTGTACACAGGATCAGAAAACAACAAGCTCCCATTCAATACCCCACATGGCTCCCTTTTATACCAATTTCTGGGGCCAACACCCCCACCTAGGGGTGCAGCAGTGATCTGGCTGCTTCCCTCCAATTCGGTAATGTGACACCCCTTCAAAGAACTCTAATAGATTCTTTACTGTTGTTTCAACTAATTTGCCTGGTACTGATGTTAGACTTACAGGTCTGTAATTGCCAGGATCGCTTCTAGAGCCCTTTTAAAATATTGGTGTTACATTAGCTATCTTCCAGTCATTGGGTACAGAAGCTGATTTAAAGGATAGGTTACAAACCATCGTTAATAGTTCCGCAATTTCCCATTTGAGTTCTTTCAGAACTCTTGGGTGAGTGCCATCCGGTCCCGGTAACTTATTACTGTTTAGTTGATCAATTACTTCCAAAACCTCCTATAATGACACTTCAATCTGTGACAAGTCCTCAGATTTGTCACCTACAAAGGACGGGTCAGGTTTGGGTGTCTCCTTAACATCCTCAGCCCTGAAGACTGAAGCAAAGAATTCATGTAGTTTTTCCACAATGATTTTATTGTCTTTAAATGCTCCTTTTGTATCTCTATTGTCCAGTGGATCCGCTGGTTGTTTAGCAGGCTTCCTGCTTCTGGTGTACTAAAAAACATTTTGTTACCTTTTGAGTTTTTGACTAGCTGTTCTTCAAACTCCTTTTTGACTTTTCTTATTACATTTTTACACTTAATTTGGCAGCGTTTATGCTCCTTTCTACCTCACTAGGATTTAACGTCTACTTTTTAAAAGATGCCTTTTTATCTCTCACTGCTTCTTTTACATGGCTGTTAAGCCACGGTGGCTCTTCTTTAGTTCTTCTGCTATGTTTTTTAATTTGGGGTATACATTTAAGTTGGGCCTCTATTATGGTGTCTTTGAAAAGAGTCCATGCAGCTTACAGGGATTTTACTTTAGTCACTGTCCCTTTTAATTTCTGTTTAACTAACCTCCTCATTTTTGCATAGTTCCCCTTTTTGAAATGAAATGCCACAGTGTTGGGCTGCTGAGGTGTTCTTCCCACCACAGGAATGTTAAATGTTATTGTAGTATGGTCACTATTTCCAAGCGGTCCTGTTACAGTTACCTCTTGGACCAGATCCTGCGCGCCACACAGGACTAAATCGAGAATTGCCTCTCCCCTTGTGGGTTCCTGCACCAGCTGCTCCAAGAAACAGTCGTTTCAGGTATCCAGAAATGTTGTCTCTGCATCTCGTCCTGAGGTGACACGTACCCGGTCAATATGGGGATAGTTGAAATCCCCCACTATTATTGAGTTCTTTATTTTGATAGCCTCACTAATCTCCCTTAGCATTTCATAGTCACTATTACTGTCCTGGTTAGTTGGTCGATAATAGATCCCTACTGTTATATTCTTATTAGAGCAGGGAATTACTATCCATAGAGATTCTATGGAAGATGTTGATTCATTTAAGATTTCTCCTCTGGGCACCAGCCCTGCCCCTACTGTGACACTGCTCTGTGTTGCAATGCCAAGGCACCGGTGCAAGCCAGGAGTGGGCTGGGACCTCCCGTGCTGCATAGATGTGAGTGGATTGATAAAGCAAGTGTCTCTGAGACATTCCCAGCTTTGGTTTGATCTCTGTCCAGCTCCGAGTGGAATGTGTGTCAAGTACACAACAACCACCACAATTAGCTTAATGGGTCACCGAGACTCCTTGGCAGGGGTGAGCCAACTTCTAGGCCCGAGGGACATATCAGGGTCCAGCTGTTGTTTGGAGGGCCATGAATGCTCACAAAATTGGGGTTGGGATGAACGCTACAGCTGGGAGTGCGGCTCTGGGATTGGGCTGGACGGTGCTGCAGACTGGGAAAAAGGGGCTCAGTGGATGGAGGATTAGGGTTGGGGAATAGGGTGCAAGCTCCAGGCTGCACTTACCTCTTAAAGCAATTCCTGGAAGCAGTGACATGTCCTCTTCCGGCCACTGCTGCGTGGAGGCACAGGCGAGGAGGCTCTGTGTGCTCTCTCCCATCCACAGGCGCCACCCCTGCAGTTCCCATTGGCTGCAGTTCCCAGCCAATGAGAGCTGCAGGGGCACCCATGGAGTCCTTCGCATGTCTAGAAGCCAGAGGGGGTGACATGCTGCCACTTCCAGGAGCCCCCAGGAGCCCCAGAATGTGTAGAGCAGGGCAAGCCCCCAACTCCACTGCCCATTGGGAGCTCAGGTGCTGGGTTAAAATGGCTGACAGGCTGGATGTGCCCATGAGCTGCAGTTTGCCCACCCATGCTCTTGGGCCATCCCAGGCAAGGCTGAGAGGTACTTGTGGGTGTGGACTCTTGCACTGCTATGGCCTCTGCTGTACCAGCCCTCTCGCTCTTTGGCGCTGCTCTCCTGGCTTCTTCAGCTGAATGAAACCAACGAGAGACCTTTTCAGTCCCGCTTGAGCGTCCTGAGAGTCATTGTGAAGGAGCTGATATTGCTGCAGCCGGCCTGCAGGCGGGACCTGTGCCTGCGGCCAGCGCATCCAACTTCATAGCCTGCAGTACCGTCCTCTGGAGCTCAGTAGCCTGGACCTCCCTCCGGGCGAGCACGCGAGGAGTCTTCTCCTAGTCGTCTCTCAGGCTGAGTCCAGCTGCGCTGCTGGAGCCCTTCGGCTGAAGATGCTCTAAGTCCAGGGTGTCTAACCAGTGCTACTGCTGTAGCGAACTAGCCAAATAGCCCCTGTGGCTAGAGCACGGCTCTACGCCAACAGGACAGAGCTCCCCTGTTGGCTTGATCATTCCTGCATCTGTGAGCGGCAGAAGCTGTCAGTGGGAGAAGCGCTCTCACTGCCGCAATGCTGCCGAGTCCACTGCTCAGTCCGGTGTAACATAGGTTGCTCAGGAGTGCAGGTTATTCAAACCCTGAGTGATGTAAATTATACCCAAGTAATCTGTAGTGGAACAGAGCCTCGGATTTCAAAATATGAATACTGAGCTCGTTGTGATCCTGAATCTATACGACCAAAGCACGGACTGCAGTGGTAATTAGAGCTAGAGAGACTCAGGGAGGTTGGGTCCATCACTGGCCATTAGCCAGGCTGGGTGGGGATGGTCCCTGGCCTCTGTCTGTCTGGAGGTGGGTGGCGGGAGGGATCCCATGAGGATTCCCTGTTGTGACCCCTCCCTCTGGGGCACCTGGCGCTGGCCACTGCCGGCCGACAGGACACTGGGCTGGGTGGGCCGTTGGTCTGACCCCGTGTGGCTGTTGTGATGTTCTTATGGAATTGCATTGGAAAGGGGGGGCCCTTCGTGCGTTAGCTGGGTGTTTGCAGAATCTGTGTGCTCTTTGCTGTAGTATTTCCTGGCTGGCTGTGCCCTGCAATGCGGTGCATTCGTCCCATGAAAGACCTGGTAGGATGGATCAGATGGGGACCGGCCCGGGGGCAGGCTGAGATCCCAAAAGAGATGGGGTAGAACAAATGCCACATGGGGCAACACTGGTGGGTGCATTCTACAGACAACCTGGACGTCTCCTATCCAAAGGCCGACCCTGCTCTACAGAAGATAGTCCTTGCAGTGCTGGGGGAGCCCAAATAGACCCAAGAGCTGCTCACCATCTCCCCTTTCAGCAGGTTTGGGAGGGGCGCTGCCTCCCGCGTGCCAGAAGGCGCTGGAGTAGCCTGGAGCCATGCCGCCTCCTGTGGACATTGTGAAAGTGGCTGTCGAATGGCCAGGAGCCAATGCCCAGCTGCTTGAACTAGACCAGGTGAGAGCTGGGCGTGGGGTGCAGGAGAGGGACTCTTGGCACGCTGAGGCCTGGGGAACTGGAAGTGACCAGCTTCTCCCTGTGGCTGGGAGACGGGGCCATGGCTGAGCTCGCTCTCTCTCGCTCTGTTCTAGAAAAGGCCCCTGGCGTCTGTGATCAAGGAAGTCTGTGATGGGTGAGTCTGGCTTTCTGGGACCGCTAAGCAGGGAGCAGTTGCCCTCCTGGGCCTGGTCTTTGCAGGTCCTACCGGATTTGCTGCTGGCCTAATGTGGATTGTCTCCCTCGAGGCTTCCCAGCCTGGACGCAGAACAGGTCAGGGCTCTAGCAGGGAGCGGGAACTCCTGGGTAGCAGGAGCCTCTGCTCTGCATGCTGGTGCCATGGCATTCCAGGCTCCTGAGGCTTGGCTGGATCCCAGCCTCCTCCTCTAGGTTCTTCCAGTCCAGGCCTTACCAGAGTTTCCCTCTGCTCCTGGTCTCATTCCGGTGCGGCTCCCAGGGCAGGAATCGTCTTCTCCTTGGGGCTCCTCTCCAAATCTTCATTTCTTTCCCTGGATCACGCCCTTGGCGTAGGTGGGGCCTGGTAAAAGGAAGAGGCGGGGCCTTATGTGTCATGCTCCCCCCGCCAGGTGGTCGTTGCCAAACCCTGAATACTACACTCTGCGCTATGCCGATGGGCCCCAGCTGTACATCACAGAACAGGTCAGTGTGGGGCAGGGGCACCGGTCTCCAGGGAGCGGTTGGAAGGAGTCTCTGCGTGGGCCAGCATTGAGCTGCTTCTGCTGTCCCCGTTCCTGGGAGAGTATCCCCCCCACATTGCCCCTATGGCCGCCGGACACGGACACTTCCATTAACCAGTGCAGTCCGAGCCCCCCCACGTGCGAGGGCCCAGCTTCCCCTGCCTCCCCACACTCGCTTCTGGGCACAGGGACCTGACCGTCCAACATCTAGCAGACCCTCAAAGCTACAAAGCCAGAGTTACAAATTGACCAGCCATCCTGTGGACCCGCAAGTCCTCAGTCCGGCAGCAGCGCAGATGAAAAAGCAGCATCTCTAGTGCCACCTCGGGAGTGTAGCCATGGGGGGCTGAGGGGCAGCTGGGCGGAGAGTGGGGAGGGGGAGCTCGGGCCCCTGACCATCATGACAGCCAGGGCTCTGGGATTTAGACTGGGGGAGCGCTGAGGTGCAGGGTTCAAGTCCATCCTCTGTTCCTCGTTCATCCCTGTAGGGGGTGCTGGGGCTCAGGGCTTTAGCTACAAGCAGAGCTCTGGTTTCAGCCCTATAGCTAACGCCCTGAGCACTGGCATGTCCTGCTCCCCCTGCTGAAGCTAAAGCCAAGGGGCGCCCTGAACCCTAGCACCCCCTGTGGAGTTGGAGACCTGCCGCCCCCTGTGAGCCTGAAACCAGGAGCAGAGCCACAGGGCTAATGTCCCGAGCCCAGCACGTCCCCCAGGTCTAAAGCATGGAGCCTTGGTGCTTCCACAGGACAGGAGCCCTGACGCGCCCCCCCCCAAGCTGGAGCTCTGGCACTCTGAGGGTCTGAAGCCCTGCCCCCCCTCCAGAGCCCTAACCCTCCCTCATGCCACTCCCTGTGGCTGCAGCCCCAGCCTCTGCGTGGCTGACGTCTGTAACTTCTTCAGAGTTCCAGGGCATGTCAGAACTATTCCTGAGCCTCTGTAACTCAGATTGCACCACTCCGTGTGCCCTGTGCATGCCCACGTCACACCGACACGTGCCCAGGGCCGTGGCTGACTGCATTTCCCTCCCCACCTCATGCTCTTCAGACGTTTCTCTTTTCTCTTTGCAGACTCGCTGTGATATTAAAAACGGGACCATCCTGCAGCTGGCTGTCTCCCCGGTATATGCCTCCCCTGAGCTGTGTTCCTCTCCTGGGCTTGTTCCTACCACTCAGCCCCCTGCCCCGCCTCCCTGTGCGAGGCCCGCTCCTGCTGCTTGGTGCCTGGCCTGTCCCCCTGGTCAGGGCCTGCTCCTGCCATGCAGCCCTCTGCCTCTCCCCCTGCTATGCCAGGCCCCTTTGCTCACTCGTTTCCCTCCTCGCTGTGAGGCACATTTTATTTCCACTTTTCATCCTGTCCTTTTATTGGCTTTCTGGGGAGAAACTCAGCCTGCCTTTCTGTTGCATATCAGACTCCCAAAGGTTAAGGACTAAACTGACCGATGATGCCCACGCAGGAGGGGCCAGATTTACTTACAAGAGACTTGACCCATTGGGCTGCGTCCCTCGGGAGGCGATGTAACCGCCCCATTAGCTCCTCCTGCCTCCTCACGTCCTGGGTGTATCTTGTTTTACATGAGCTGTTCTTTGGAGCAAGGCCTGTGTCTTCACAGTAAAAATAACAGCCGTGTCCCCAGGGGTTGCTTTCCCACTTCTGGGTTTTAACCACACAGCGAGCTAGCATCCCAGATTGTGTGAGACGTGGCGAAGAGACTCCCGCCAGTATGAAGAGGAAAGAGTAGCTGGGAGCACGTAGAAAGGAGCAAGGGAGCCCTGAGACTCTCGTAAAGCCAGTCTCTGTTGGCGTGGCATGGGCGACACTGTGTTTCTAGATCCTAGATGATACAGTGGTGGGTGCATTAAAAAGCTTCAGAAAAATGTTTCTTTGGAACTAAAAGATCTTTTGTGACCTCCTATTTCTTTTAAATGCCCATACCTGATGAAGTGGGACAGAGGGATTTATCCCACCTGAGAAACAAACACTTGACTCGCCTGCTTGTTGGCTGTGCTTGCAGCTGAGGGCAGCATTCCTGAGCACAAATCAGTCTGCCTAGACAGCTGGTTGCTTTTCTGCCCGTGCCAGTAACCCCTTGACCTCACTGTGTTCCTTCTGCCCGTTGCTGCGCCCTGGGTTGGCCGACCATGAGTAACTGGCAGGATCTCGCTTGTCTCCCAGTCCAGGGCAGCTCGCCAGCTGATGGAAAGGACCCAGTCACACAGTATGGAGGCCCGCCTGGACGCCATGAAGGAACTGGCCAAACTCTCCGCAGATGTGACCTTTGCCACAGAGTTCATCAACATGGAGGGGATCACGGTGCTGACGCGGCTGGTGGAGAGTGGCACCAAGCTTCTGTCCCAGTAAATATGCCTGTACTTCTGGACTCTGAGCAGGGACTGGGGTGGGGCGGGGCGGGGCGGAGGGGGCTGCAGCTGCAATGCTCTTGGTTCCAGCAGGGACTGGGGTTTTCTAGAACATTTGTTGAATGTTACAAGGTTAAACTCAGGGTTTTCTGTCAGGTTCTCTCTGGCAACTGCCAGTGCACCATCACTGCGGACAGCTTCTGTTCTTCTTTGAGCTGTATTGCTCAAGTCACTGCCGAGTATATAAGAACAGAAGAGCGGCCAGACTGGGGCAGACCAAAGGTCCATCTGGCCCAGTGTCCTGTCTGCCGGCAGTGGCCAGTGCCGGGTGTCCCAGAGGGTGTGAACCAAACAGGGAATGATCACGTGATCGTTCTCCTGCCACCCTCTCCATCCTCTGACAAAGAGAGGCTAGGGACACCATTCCTCACCCATACTGGCTAATAGCCACTGATGCACTTAACCTCCATGAGTTCTCTTTTAAACCCTGTTATAGTCTTCGCCTACACAACTTCCTCTGGCAAGGAGTTCCACAGGTTGACTATGCACTGTGTGAAGAAGAACTTCCTTTTATTAGTTTTAAACCTGCTGCCCATTAATTTCATTTGATGGCCCCTTGTTCCTATATTATGGGAACAAGTAAATAACTTTTCCTTATTCACTTTCTCCACACCACTCATGATTTTATAGACCTCTATCCTATCCCCCCTCAGTCTCCTCTTTTCTAAGCTGAAAAGTCCCAGTTTCTTTAATCTCTCCTCATATGGGACCCGTTCCAAACCCCCTCATCATTTTAGTTGCCCTTCTCTGAACCTTTTCCAATGCCACTAGATCTTTTTTGATATGAGGAGACCACATCTCTACGCAGTATTCCAGATGTGGGCGTACCATGGATTTGTGTAAGGGCAATAAGATATTCTCCGTCTTATTCTCGATCCCTTTTTTAATGATTCCTAACTTCCTGTTTGCTTTTTTGACTGCCGCTGCCACACTGCGTGGACGTCTTCAAAGAACGATCCACGATGACTCCAAGGTCTCTTTCCTGATTAGTTGCAGCTAAATTAGCCCCCATCATACTATATGTCTAGTTAGGGTTATGTTTTCCAATGTGCATTACTTTACATTTGTCCACATTACATTACATTTGCCATTTTGTTGCCCAGTCACTTAGTTTGGTGAGATCTTTTTGAAGTTCTTTACAGTCTGCTTTGGTTTTAACTACCTTGAGCAGTTTAGTGTTGTCTGCAAACTTTGCCACCTCACTGCTTACCCCCTTCTCCAGATCATTTATGAATAAGTTGAAAAGGATTGGTCCTAGGACTGACCCTTGGGGGACACCACTAGTTACCCCTCTCCATTCTGAAAATTTACCATTTATTTCTACCCTTTGTTTCCTGTTGTGAGGGGTTCGGGGTGCGATCCCCCCCTCCCAGGTCGAAAGGGGGGTTCGGCGGACCCCTTCGCCTCTTTTGGTTCGTCTCGTGACCGGGCTCCTAGTTGGAAGCCCGGGCACTCGGGTGCGATCACCCCCCTCCCTGGAAGGAAGGGGGGGGGTTAGCGGACCCAGTAGTCGTTACCCATCCCTGCGGGGTGGGGCCTGAGCCCCTTATGTGCTCTGCCTGCCACCACGCGAGCCACCCGGGCGGCCGGACCCCCTGGAGGTGCGTGACTTGGTTCTGCTACACCCTACGCTGGCGTCGCTCGGAGCTGAACGCTCCTCTGGTGGAGGGAGGGGGACCTGGTCCCGCCCTCTCTCCGGGTCCCAGCCCGGGGCCCTAAGCGTTGGGACTTGCTTGCGCCCCGACGCGGTAGATGGGGGTCACTCCGCCCGTAACCCACCTACCCACGGGCGCCAGAAGGCTTCCACCCCGGGCTGCTTCCTCCCTTCACCCCACACCCTCGAACGATCCGTCCATTCGCTCGGCTTACCGTGCCTCAGTTGGAGGAGTCAGGGGCTGGTCCGTACCAAACCCGGGGGCCAGCCGTCTGCCACGTCTTCTCGCCCAGTCAGGCCGCTCCCTGCGTAGTCGTTGCGCACTATCCGGGTCACTGCTGGAGCCCGGGCTAGCAGCCCGTCTGCGATGGGGGCTGCCTTGGGATCCCCGAGCGCGGGGCTGTGCCACCGGCTGTGCTCGGGTGTGTCCCCGGTCCGTCCTGAGACGCGATCTGCCTCCTGCTCCCCTGGAGGAGACCTCCTCTCCCTGTGCTGCCGTCTGCCACGTCTTCTCGCCCGGTCGGGCCGCTCCCTCCGTGGGCGTTGCGCACTATCCGGGTCACTGCTGGAGCCCGGGCTAGCAGCCCGTCTGCGATGGGGGCTGCCTTGGGATCCCCGAGCGCGGGGCTGTGCCACCGGCTGTGCTCGGGTGTCGCCACCGCCACCGCCACAGCTTCGGCACTGGTGTGCTCTGCCTGCCACCACGCGAGCCACCCGGGCGGCCGGACCCCCTGGAGTGCGGGCCAGCGTCGGCCCGTCACACCTGTCTTTTAACCAGTTCTCAGTCCATGAAAGGATCTTCCCTCTTATCCCATGACAACTTAATTTACGTAAGAGCCTTTGGTGAGGGACCTTGTCAAAGGCTTTCTGGAAATCTAAGTACACTATATCTACTGGATCCCCCTTGACCAAGTGTTTGTTGACCCCTCCAAAGAACTCTAATAGATTAGTAAGACAGGATTTCCCTTTACAAAAACCATGCTGACTTTTGCCCAACAAATTATGTTCTTCTACATGTCTGAGAATGTTCTTCTTTACTATTGTTTCAACTAATTTGCCCGGTACTGACGTTAGACTTACCGGTCTGTAATTTGCAGGATCGCTGCTAGAGCCCTTTTTAAATATTGGTGTTACATTAGCTATCTTCCAGTCATTGGGTACAGAAGCTGATTTCAAGGCTAGGTTACAAACCATCGTTAATAGTTCTGCAGTTTCACATTTGGAGGTGCATGTGCCGCATGCACAGTCTCCAGAAGGGTTTTTCCTTTGTGGTTCCCATCTGGTTGGTCTCAGGCACCCTTTGGAGTCCTGCCGTCATGGCACCGCACATAGGGTTCTGCCAACCCATCACGTCTTCAGTTTCTTCTTGCGATAGTGACAGTCACTGGAGCTGAGAGTGTGTCTTGCTTCAGCAAGTGTTTCCCTTAGTCCACCTGTAAATAACTAGTATGAGTTGTAATAGTTAACAGTTAGTGAGAGCTGAGGATCCCCTCCCCTCCCCCACACCTCCATTTCCTTTCCCTCTTGATCCCTCTCAGTCCAAGGCTTTAAACTGTGTGGGATCTGCCACAAGCCCATGCCGAAGAGCAACCCCCACAGCTCCTGTTTAAAGAGCCTGTGGGAGATGCATCGAACAGCTTGTTGCACGATCTGCAAAGAGTTTTGCCTGAGAACTGAAAAGAAAAGGGACTTCAGGCTCAAACAACTCATGGAGGCATCTCTCGGTCCCAGCATTCCCTGGATCAGAAGGACACTGCACATAGTACCTCCCTGCAGAGTGCGTCAGCCTGTCTGAGACACTACGGCATGGAGGAAGGACTTGACTCATGGAGACCCTCGGCACTGTCATTCCCTGTCACTGAATTCAGTGGAAGTGTCACAACATGACTGTCACTCACTGGTGCCTCACAAGAGCAATAGGGGACGCTTGCCCCCTTGAGAGCAGCCTTTCTGCATCACAGTCTGCTGGGAGGATCACCTGTGCTGTGTGTTCCTGCTCATCTTAAAGGTTCTGCTCCCGATCCGAAGGCAAGGAGCTCCATACTGATAGGGCCAGCCTGGCCACGCCTGCACTGGCACTTCATGCTTCTGGGTGACACCCTAGTCTCCTTGCCCTTCTAGACCTGATCACTCAGCATCCCAACCTCAGGTCTGTCTGCCTCATGGCTTGGAAGCTTTGTGGTTGATCCCACTAGAGCGGACGTGTTGAGAACCTGTTGTGACGTAGTGGGGGTACCTGGCTGGGCTGTGGTGACCCCTGCTGTCTGGAGCAAGACCCAGCAGGGAAAACCTGGCTAGGCAGAGATAAGGCCAAACTGGTTGAACCAGTGGCCAGACACCCCCCATGGAGCGGAACAAAGGAAGGTGGAATGCTGCCCTGACTGCGGGGGCAGGGCTGGAGGGGAATTTAGTTAGACTGTGGAAGAGCATGGAGGAGAGCCTAGGGGAAGGGGCTGGAGTTTAGGGGCCCAGTCTCCCCCATCTCAAGGGGGCCTGAGGCATCCTAGCCCAGTTCCTGTAACCAGATTACATCTGTGCTGCGCTGTGCTGGAGGAGCAATAAACCACCCTCAATTCCACTGGCTGGTGCAGTCTGTTTGTGCCATTTCGGGGTGCAGGAGACGGGGAACCCCCAACGCGCCGTCACACTGGTGTCAGGAGCGGGATCCGAGGCACCCCGTGGATGAAGCTTCCAGCGGCGAGCGACAAGGCGCAGTAGAAGCAAGAGCCCTGGAGCCAGGCGTGCTGGAGACAGAGCGAAGCGGTTCCTGGGAATCGTGGGGCGCTGCAGCACTAGACTGGTGAGTCTGCACCGAGGGGCCCAGCGGGCAGATGGCCTACGCCCGACTCTTGAAGGCAGAGCTGGTGGGGCTGTGCAGAGAGAGGGGCTTGCCGGTGCGGAAAGCAACCAAGGCCCAGCTGATTACCCAGCTGGAAGAGAATGACCAGCCACGGGGCCAGGATCTTGTCCCCAGGGGAAGCAGCCAGACCCCCCCTGAGAGTGTGTCAGGCTCAGAGAGGGGGAGGAGCGCTGGAACCCACAGGAGAGATGAGACAGCTTCCCCCAGGAGGCCTGCAAGCTGCAGCCCATCTAGGGCAGGGGCCAGCCAAGCAGAGCTGCGGCGGCTGGAGATCCAGCTGCGGATCAGGGAATTGGAAGTAGAGGACCGAGAGAAGGACCGCCAGGACCGAGAGAGGGAGCGCCAAGATCGAGAGAGGCAGCGGCAGCATGAGCTGGCCATGGCAGAGCGGAGAACCGGCGGGGCACCGGCTGCGCCAAGTGC